AACTTAAAAATCTATATATTATCCCCATTTCCTTCTTTCTCATCAGAGAAATATCACATCATCGCTAAAAAGACTGTTATAGTTTGTCTAAAAGGCAGAGCCAATACTTAATTCTTTCCTAATCACTTATAAGTTTTCAGAATAATGTATTAGTTCCCTGTCTTCTTTTGATGTGGTCCATGCTGTCCTTGAACTCATTATCTAGCTGAAAATGATCTTGAGTTTTTGGTCCTCCTGTTTGCATTTGAGTTGAATACTGGAATGTTGGAATTGTAGGCGTGTGCCAACATATTCCATTGAGTTAGTTTCTTATCATCCTCTAATGATCAATGTGGATTCTGTCACCCTGATTAATATTTGTACTGGGGTAAGATACCCAGATTCCTAGCAGGATTGTTTGGGCGTGTCTGGGTGAGCGCTTCCACTAGAGAGAGCATTTGATTGGCGCCTGGAATATACATTTCCATTTTCAGAGTTGGTGACATAATCTCATCCGCGAATGATGCAAATTAACAAAAGCTGGTAACCCTTGGACTTTGTCGTCTATGTGAGCCATGACACCCATCTTCTCTTGCTTTTGCCATCAATTTTTCTCATTATTGGACCTTTGGGCTTGGATTTCCATTGTGGTTCTAGACTGGAGTCTCACAACTAGCTTTCCTAGGATAGTACATGTCTATTAGTTTCAGATTACATCATTACGTGAGATTTTACTAAAAGTCTTCTTCATATATCTGTTCAATATTCTGTCACTTTTGTGTCTGGAGCATCCTGGCTAGTTCCAGCATCAGTGGGTCCATGTGGATTTTAATGGTTTTGTGTCATTCTTACGTGTTGTTAGAATTGAGAGGAAAAAAGACCAAGTCCACGATTGTCCAAATAAAGCGAGCTGTATTTTGAGCTGGCTGTTGCACCCTGTTAGGATTTCACAGAGGCAGCTTGAGGTCTTTTTTTTTTTTAAATAGGAGAGCTAAGGTATTTACGGGTAAGAGATGGTGGTTATACATTGTTAGAGAAACACAATGAAAGAAAAGGAACTGCAAGGATATTCATCTTGAGAATGGGGTTGCACATTTAGTGCAGTTATTTATTTATTTATTTATTTTTTGCTCTTTCAAGACAGGGTTTAGCTGTCGTTTTAGAGCCTGTCCTGGAACTAGCCTTTTTTATTTATTTTATTTATTTATTTATTTACATTTGGAGATCACTGTCCTCATTTATTGCACAGTTGTTTATTGTCTTAGCCTTTAAGTTATATAGGTATTAAGAATTATAGATCAATAGTCATCTATGTTTGTCATACTTATAGTTAGACCAATCAGGTTCTTTAGATACATAGAGATTATATTCTGTATAGATAGATAATCTTCAACCACTTCAAAGAGCTGTAAAAACTGGCATTTAAATAACTTAGAGTTCTGTTGAAGTGAGACACAATTACTCCTGGCAGCGCCAATCTATTCCTGAGAGAATGTTGAGCACCAAAGACACTCCTCTTGGAGCTTGTTTTCTTTCTTTTTTTTATTATTGATATTTATTGAGCTCTACATTTTTCTCTGCTCCCCTCCCTGCCTTTCTCCTCCCCCCTTCAACCCTTCCCCAAGGTCCCCATGCTCCCAATTTAGGAGATTTTGTCTTTTTATACTTTCTACTTCCCATGTAGATTATATCTATGTAAGTCTCTTAGTGTCTGTATTGTTGTCTAAGTTCTCTGGGATTGTGATTTATAGGCTGGCTTTCTTTGCTTTATGTTTAAAAACCACTTATGAGTGAGTACATGTGATAATTGTCTTTCTGTGTCTGGGTTACCTCCCTCAAAATAATGTTTTCTAGTTCCATCCATTTTCCTGCAAAATTCAAGCTGTCATTATTTTTTTCTGCTGTGTAGTGCTCCATTGTGTAAATGTAACACATTTTCCTTATCAATTCTTCTATCAAGGGGCATTTAGGTTGTTTCCAGGTTCTGGCTATGACAAACAAAGCTGCTATGAACATAGTTGAGCACATGTCCTTGTGGCACGATTGAGCATCCTTTGGATATATACCCAAAAGTATATTGGATCTTGAGAAAGGTTGTTTTCTAATTTTCTGAGAAATTGCCACACTGACATCCAAAGGGGTTGTACCAGCTTGCATTCCCACCAACAATGCAGAAGTGTTCCATTTTCTCCACAACCTCTCCAGCATAAGTTGTCATCAGTGTTTTTGATCTTGGCCATTTTTACAGGTGTAAGATGGGATCTCAGAGTTGTTTTGATTTGCATTTCTCTGATGACTAAGGATGTTGAACATTTCCTTAAGTGTCTTTCAGCCATTTTAGATTCCTCTGTTGATAGTTCTCTGTTTAGGTCTATACTCCATTTTGTTTTTATTGGATTATGTGATCTTTTGGTGTCCAGTTTCTTGAGATGGAACTAGCACTTGTAGATCAGGCTGGCCTCAAACTCAGAGAGATCTGCCTGCCTCTGCCTCCTGAGTGCTGGGATTCAAGGCATGTGCCACCACTGCCTGGCTTACTGTAGTTTGAAAAAATATGTTTTTCAGTTTACATCAGATCTATGAAACAGGAACATATTTGTAATTACCAATAGAAACCTTAAATTGTAAGGATTTAACCCAGGACAAATAAAAACTTTTTCTTTAACTACAAACAAAACTTAACCTGCACAGGACAAATAGAAGCTTATTCTTAACTGTCTTAGCTACAAACAGAACTCTTAACTGGTGTGGTTTGAATGAAAAAGGCCCCCATAGGCACAGAGGGAGAGTCTCTATTAGGAGATGTGGTCTTGTTGGAGTAGGCGTGGCTTTGTTGCAGGAAGTGTCTCTGGAGGCCACCTTTGAGGTCTCAGAAGCTCAAGTCAGGCCTAATGGCTCACAGGCTCTTCCTGCCACCTTCGGATCTGATGTAAAACTCTTAGTTACCCCTCCAGCACCATCTCTGTCTGCGTGCTGCATGCTTCTCATCGTGATAATGGACTAAACCTCTGAAACTGTAGGCCAGCCCCAATTGAATGCTTTCCTTTGTAAGAGTTGCTGTGGTCATGGAGTCTCTTCACAGCAATAGAAACCCTAACAAAGACAACCTGCGAGGTATATTGTTCCTGTGTTTGTCTCACATCCAGGCTCTTCTCTTAGCTCCTTGTGCCCTTGGTGTGACCCCAGTACCAACTGACTTCTCTGTTATCTCCCAAGAAAATGTCTTCCAGGTTGATCCTCTAGATTTCCTGCTTATTCACCAATATTTAAGGCAAGGGGAACTTAAGCACTTTATGAGTTTTTGGGCTTAGGACAGAGTCTTAGCTAGGGTTTCTATTAGGGTTATAATGCACCAGGAGCAAGGGCAACTTGGGGAAGAGATTTATTTCAGGTTAGAACTCTGAGGCTACTCCATCTCTGAGGGAGGTCAGGCCGGGTACTCAAGGCTGGAACCTGGAGGAGCTGAAGCGGAGACAAAGAAGTGTCCTTACTGTCTGCTTCTCAGGGCTTGTGCAACCTGTTTCATAGACGGCTCAGGACCACATACAATGGGTTGGAGCCTCCCATGTTAATCTTTGGTCAAGAAAACGTCCTCCAGGCTTTCTCACTGGTAGATGTGCTAGGGACATTTTCTCAATTGAGGTCCCAAGGACCTCAACTATTGTGTTACCTATTGTCCAGAAGACAGGCACTGGGAAAAGTGACCCATGACCTGTGTCTTAGCCTAGAATTAGCCAATGCATACTGCATACACATAGTTGTTTATGTGAAATAGTTTCCCCATGTATCCCAAGCTGGCTTTGGCCTCTCAATCCTCCTGCCTCTGCACCCATCCAATGTGACTTATGAGTTGGAGGAAAATGGAGTTACACACGGGGAACTTGCTGTGTGACCGTTGAGGAAGGAATCAGAGCCATGTGACTGCAAACCAAACTATGCTGTGAGCTAATGCTCCTGCTGAAGGGTCCAAGAATAGGAATATAAATATGTACATTCCAGAAATAGGAATGTCGAAATGAAGAAATACAAAGTTGTAAGCCTAGGAGAATGAGAGCAGACTGTCAGCTTGAGGATTAGCTATTAACAATGGGTTACTCTGCTTTATAACCCATAGCTCTGTTTACAAGGCCAGAGCATCTCTCTGCAGACTGAGAGCTAGTCTACGGATATGAGCAGAGTCAACATTTAGGAGATACACCTCTAGGTTATATATTATAAATATATGTGAAACTGGCATCATCAAAGGGGAGAGCCCAGGGCTTCAGTAAACACTACCTGGGAGTATCAAGGAAGACAATAGATTAAGTACAAACACTAGTTTCACTGAAAAACTCTGTTAATGGAGATTGTAAAGTAAGGCAATCTCTGAGTTTTACCTTGAGATTGTAAAAATTCCTTTGTTCAGACCTAATGCTTGGTGCCCCTACTATAAAAAGGGGGAGTTCAGAAACTGGCCTCTGCCACAGCCTTACAAGTCCATCTCTGGCTGTGGTCTCAGCTAGCTGATAAGCCTTTTGTGCCCCATGGAGATTTTTTATATTTTATTTCTTTATTTTTTTTCCTGGATTCTGGTTTCTAGAATAAAGTTTGCTTCTTATTTATTAGACTTTGGTGGTATGTCCCCATCTTTGCACGACTTCCCTGGACCCGACACTGCTGTGCTCCTGTAGGGGGAGATCGGGAGGATTCTGGAGCCAGGCATGCTGCAAACTCTTAAACTCTTATCAAGTAATTCATTTCTTTAGGGGACCTACTAGCCTTCAAGGCGCTCTTGATTTATATGTCCCCAAGTGGGACACCTCTCTACAGCACTGCCCTGGAAGCTGTTTTATAATCATCCCCCTCTACTTTCATCTGCCAATGTTTTCAGGTCTAAGTTGCTCTATTCTGGCCTGTGTATAAGTTTTTTAAGGAGGAAAGTGAGTTTTATTTTGACTCTGCTTCTTTTATTAAATTCCTTTTTTTTTTTGACAAAATGTCTACTTTTCCAGTGTGAGAGGCTTAAAATAATGAAAACTTACCATACAGTGTCTCACCGATCCTGCCTCTCTATTTTGAGACCATGTCACTGTAACAGGTTTCTCTCCCACCTTGAAATTGAATTAAAAACAGAGGTTTCAATTCCCGAGTAACCACTCAGAGGCTTAATATTACTTCTAAATGTTTGGCCAATGGCTCAGGCTTATTACTAGCTACCAGTTATAATTTAAATTGATAAACTTAATCCATTTTTATTAATATATGTATTGCAACACGGCCGTGGCTTTACCTCATTTTCTACATGTCTTGCTTCCTCGGTGGCTGGCTGGTGTCTCCCAGACTCTGCCCTTCTTCACCTGTATCTTTGCTTGAATATCCCCCTGGCTCTATCCTGCCTTGCTGTAGGTCCAAGCAACCAATGAGAGCAACACATATTCACAGCATACAGGATCTTGCAGCTTGACACCCTAACTCTTGGCTTCCAGGTGCCCCTCTTAAGTTCCTCAGCTCTGCAGACACACACATAGTTGTCTTGGGCTTATAATTTATTCTGTTTACAGCCCTGTGATCATATGATTCACCCTAATCACATGGAGGCTAGGAAACGCAGGTTGGCACTCGGGTTGTTCAGTGGGCTCCATGGTCAGATTGAGTCAGGTTTGGCAATAATCCGCGGTTGTGCTTATGAATTGTGTGAACCTGATAATTTGCTAACCACGCTGAGCTTCAGTTTCTTCACTGTAGAAGGGAAGCAGAATACATCTGACTTTCCTTTTGGTACCAGGGTTAAACCAAGGACCTGATAAGCAATTGGCAAGTGAGTTACATTGCCAGTCCTTTTTGTTTATTTGTTTCTCTTGTTACTTGTATGTATGGACATGTATTTTGCATATTTTCATGTACAGGTGTGTTTGTGTGTTCCTGTGCCCATAGAGGCCACAAGGGATCTTCCTTAACCACCCTCCACTTTATATTTTGAGGCAGAATCTCTCACTGACCAAGAAGTCTTCAAGTGGATCACAGGAGTTCCAGCCTCTCCAGCTCTGGCATCACAAGTGAGGGCACCATGCCTGTTCCCCCACCTCCCTCCCCCTGCCACTACATGGTTTCTAAGGATCAAATTCAGAGCCCTATGCTTGCAAGTCCAGCAATTCATGCATAAAGCCATCTTCTCCTAGAATACATCTGTTACATGGTGTTAAATAAGTTAATATGTACAAAGGCCCATACAAATTTTTCAAGAAAAACTGTGATTCTGCTCATGTTAATGGTAGCTGCCCTGGAACACATATACCATTACCAATTAAGGAAGGTAACATGAATTCCATTTTGTGCCTTTGAATTGGCACAAAAGAATGTGAACAGCAGAGACCACTGCTCACTGTCAAAAATGTTGACAAAGAACTTGAGCAGGTGTCTGAAAACTTGCCCCTTCACCTATAAATGGATAAAATACTGCTGGCTCCTCTGGTGGTGTATCCAGAAGATAGAGGTAAGGCCTTGGGATGTAGTTTTCACAGTGTATGGATGCCACAGGGCCAAACCCCTCTACCTTGCCAAGTTTCAGTCTTGTATTTGCCTCTGGTCACTGAAGTGGGCTGTGCAAGATAGTCACTTTGTCTGTTTTCTCACTTGCAAAATGGGCATAACAACAATAGCACTGGTCTGGTGCGAACAATTAAATGGATGAAAGTACTTAGAACTATGTCTGGTAGGTAGCAAGTACTTAGTAATTTAAATTATTATTGTTTACTACTAAGATGGAAGGCGCCCTAGGAGCCCAAGGAAGAAAACGTTCTAGCCCAGCAGAACCAAGAAAATCTTCATGGAAAAGCTTATAGCTCAAAAAGAGTTGTGATCTATTGGTAGTTCCCCAGAAAATGGGTTGAAAGTAGGATATCTAGAAAGCAGGAGAGAGGACAACACAGGGCTTAGATAGAGGCTTGGGTATGAGACGTTACCGAGGAAGTGGTCCAGGCAGGGAACTGCGCATGAGCAGCCGGGATGGGATGTGGGAGGGCAGAACAAGTGGAAAGTTGGTGGGGCGGGATGAGGGTTAGCTGGGAAGGAAGGGCTCTGTGCCAAACCTGCACTTCTGTTTTAGGGCAGGGCAGTGATTATGATGGTCTGTATGGATTGCTTTGTGTTGGGGAGCCCGCCAGCCAGGAGATCTTTGGGAGAAGCTATTCCATTAGTGCATGCTGAGAATTTACGAAATGCACCATTAACATCAAAGGGGCTCCCTCTCTCTTCTCCCTGTTGGGATTCTGTATGGCCCCCAGGTTTTGTGTTTATGTTTTGTTTGCGTTATTTATTTATTTGTTCCAAAAATGCAACAAGTAAAAATCTATCCCTTCTTTGAGGGACAATATACAGCATGAATCTCACCTGCCCGCGGCATTTCTCAGTGCTCCTGCAGCTACAGCGTTAAAATGAGCCGAAATGCATTTGACACTACTGCAGCTTTAAGGATGCATGAGCTTGTGTCACCCCATAAGCCAGCCCTGCTCGCCTCACTTGTCACACACCATTAGCGGTATCCCTGGGCGAGGGACCTAGGGTTAAAGATTAAGTTTAGAAGCCATCTTGGCATTTTTTCTGCTTGCAATGGTTGGACACAGACTGAGAATTCATTAAATATTTAATTTTGTGTGGTTTGCTTCAGGGTAAAGGCTAAAAGAAGTCTGGCTGATATGTTGTTGATTCCCCCTCTGTTCACCTGTAATTCTTCTTGATCTTCAACGGAAGGATCCTTTTTTTAGATGCATAATTATTTCTGGAACTTGACTAGTACACACTTTAAAGGAAGTGTTTGGAAATGCTACTCACAGAACAAACCTAGCAAGAGTTTGGTGCAGACCCTGTGGGTCTCAGAGCACAGCCAACCTGAACGCTGTGTTAGATTTCTTCTAAACAGACTTATTTATAAAGCTCCTGCTATTTTCTTTTGCTAGGCATCTGCTGGAAAAGGCAGCAAGGCCACCTCTGGAGTGAGGAAAGTTCCTTTTCTCAATGTCCCTAGGACATAGTTCTACAAGGACTGAGGAGCATCCGGGTAGACATTTCTCCTTAGGTGCCTTTCTGTTTGGTGGAGAAAAGCATTTCCTTCCACCGTGTGTGTCAGAGCTCCTTGTCAACACTGAGAAAATAGGCTTTTAGCACTGGCCAGTTCACCCTTCTGGAACATTCCTCTTCCTTTAAGCAACCGTAGAAATACCAAGACCCAAGTAGGCACAGGGCACCTTTTCTTGTCTGAGTCTTCAGACGAGGGAAGATAACTGGTTCTTCCTCCAACACTGGCCCCTCCAGAGGAATGACCAATTTTCAGGGCGACTGCTGCCTGTCTCCACACTCTCTCCTCCCATTTGTGGGTTGCTGAAGACATTGTTTTGCTGTGACATCACACCTGGATCTCTACAACGGTGCCAGAAAGCTCCAAGGAATGAAAGATCGCAGTGCCTTCAAAGCCACTGGCATTCCCAGCCAGTATTTCTTCTTCTTACATCTTTGTGTCCATCTTCCTTTAGAAAAGAACAGTTGGCTGATATGCAACCAGGCTCTGGAAATCCTGCAGGAACTCTCGAGGTTTTTTCAGATGTTTGGAAGCCTATCAAAGGGAGGGAACTGCAAAGCTGACTACAGGTTAGAGGGTGATTGTGGCTACAATGAGTGGGGGAAAGTCAGGAGGCAAACGTTTGTCTCACTGTGTTCTTCTAATGCATGTTGGCATTGTCATGTGGGGGGGGCTATAGGGTTATAAGAGTCAGGAAAGGCTGTGTCAGCTGTAGACAGATTGCTGTATATTTTCAAACCAAAGCTAATGACTATTCTTAATTTCTAGACCAGTTTCTTAATCTTATTGAGCCACAGGATGTTTTTCACGTATAGGTCAAAGGATGGATATTCGTTGGAGAATTTAGAAAGTGCTTGGCTAGGTGGGTTGCTGAGATGGCTCAATGGGTAAAGACACTTGCTGCCGAACTCCATGACTTTAGTACAAGCCCCAGGACCCACAGGGTGGAAGGGTGGAAAGAGATAACTGGCTATCACAAGTTGTCTTCTGATCACCACTGTGTGTGACACACACACACACACACACACACACACACACTAAAAAGAAGGCATTTGACTGTCAAAAATCAAACTATGTTTATAGACTTCAGGTGTGATTGTTAGCTGAAATCAGATGTCATGGTTTTGGGGAGACAGCACACAAATGTGGTATCCTGGGGTCTGGTTTACTGTGTGACACTAGGTAGAAATGTGTATTTCTGAGGTCCTCAGTGGCTCTAAAACAGTACGGTGCCTTTAGGATATGCCGAGTGCTTTAGTTATTTTCTGTCTGTGACCAGCACCTGATAAGAAGGGACTTAAGGAGGAAGGGTTTATTCTGACTCACCATTTGAGGTGATACATGTAGTTGGATTTTCCTTGGGCCACCCGAGTCTACAAAAAAAATGACACAGAGACATTATTAATTATAAAAGCTCAGCCTATAACTTATGCTTGTCCTACTAGCCCTTATAAATGAAATGAACTCATTTCTACTCATCTGTGTGCTGCCTGTAACTTGTGGCTTTTCCCTGCGTGCCTTGCTCCCTTTGTGTCCGGCTGGCGACTCCTCCTTTCTTGTTCCCAGAGCTCTCTGTCCCCGGGAGTCCCACCTAGCTAATGGCCATTCAGCTCTTTATTAAACCAATCAGTCACAGAGACACATCTTCACACAGCATGAAGGAATGCTCCACAAGAGATACAGTCCCTTACGGCAGGGAAGAACACATGGTGGCAGGAGTGTGAAGACTCTGGTCACATTTCATTTGCAGACAGGAAGCCCCGAATGAACAGGAAGTGGGGTGTCCTGTAAACACCTCAAGGCGTGCCCCCAAGAGACCCATTTCCTCCAGTGAAGCTGGACCTCGGAAGGGTTCTATAACCTTTCAAACAGCACCACCAGTGGGGTCCAAGTGTTTAAACACAAACCCTTGCCTGAGGGGACGTCTACATCAGGCTTGTAGTATTTTGTCAGAATGAAGTTAACAGAGTGATGGCTCATTTTAGTTTGGAATTTCAAGGACTAGAGAAGAGTTTCTATTTTGACCACCCAGATGGATCATGGTATGGCAACATTTGTTTCTTCCCGGCCATTTGTGATAGACGTTCAGAAAAGAGGAAGAATATGGAGAACATGTTTTATAACAGAAACATTGTATCTATTTATTGAAACCCAATCCACAGGGCATCTCAAGTGGATTTTCCTCTGGATTACAGAAATAAAATGATGACCGTACTGGGTCACTGGATGTGGAGTGGCAGAAGTTTGAGCAGGCTCAGGCTAGAGTGAGTGTTGTCTGGGTAGAAGTCAACTTCTTCTCTTGGTTAACAAATGTTTTGAGGCACAGGAATAGAGAAATAACTCTGCCTCACTAGCTTTTGGGTGTGATTTTAGTTAGCACCAAGTACTATAAATTCCTTGAGGGTACTTACTAGTCAGGCAAGCATGCGCTTTAGTTGCAGGCGGAAGGATGATAGGTGAGTGGAGGGGTAAACACATGCAGCCCACGGGAGAAGGATGAGGTACCTGAGCTCATTCAGATGAAGGAAACCAAGATGAGGAAGGGGATTCCTGGCTGTGGAAGGCAGGCTGAAGTTAGAGGCTGCTGAAACTTGAGGGAGGTAACTATTAGGTGATACAGCACCTGCCTTCAGACACCTTAAGGCTCTCATTGGACCTGTGGAAGACAGAATCATACAGTCTCCAGGGGTGGACTTTGACTGGCAGGTGGAAGCTTGCAGGGAGGTTATGGCATTTTAAAAACTGATCTGTCAAGGGATGGCAAGAGGGCTCAACAGGTAAGAACTTGATTATCTGAGTTTGATCCCTGGGACCCATATTGTAGAAGGAGCTTCTCTTTCTGACCTCCACAGATGTGCTACTATTGTGTGTGTGTGTGTGTGTGCGCGTACACACACACACACACACACACACACACACACACACACACGTTCTGCCAGTGAAGAGGTCATCAGGAGTGGGATGAGCAGCCACGACAAGGGATTCCTTGTGGCTCTAAGTTCCCATAGCATAAAGTTTCGCTTTGAGAACCAGAAGATCCAGGATACCCCTTATAGCTAATCTAATTTTGACACTAGGAGCATTAAGCCTTGCTTAGGAGCACCCATCTGTTCTTACAAATGCATGGCCACCAAAGAGAAGGAACTTGGAAATAACAGTGTCGGAAAACAATTTTTGCTAGGAGGCTGCTTACCAGCTTTCTGGGTATCCCTCAGCCTGTAGCCACAGGTAAGCCAGGGATGGATGTTCTTAACCCTTCTGGGATGTGTGGGTCAGAGCCTTAAACTGTCAACCAGAAAACAAGTCTACTATCTTGTCACATGCCTGTATGTCTTGGGGTCTTCAACATATGGTGTTTGGGTCTAATAATGCTGGAACAATTCAATGGGAACAAGCAAGTGAATATCAAATATCTGTTATGTGCTAGACCAGCAGGGCACTGAGTGTAGCCTTGTTTTATAGGATTATAATATAATTATAATATATAACATTATATTACGTATAAAGCATAGTGCTTTCAATAATGGTTTCTGTGGGAATATGTTTCAATCCAGTTTCTATTCGTGGACTATTTTAAAGCCAGTGATTTTGATTCTTGTACTGAGAAATTTCATTGTCACTAATATGACCACTTAGTGAGACAAGGGGGACAGGAAACATGCCTAGCACTTAGTTCAGATTATTGAGGCAAGAACATTATTGAGTTTATTTATACTCATTAATATATACTCACATGCAGTATATACCACAATAGACAAGTAATGCGGTTTCTAATGTTTGGCAGCATGGAAATATAATTAGCAAACAAGCAATTCTGTCTCTATGGCTTACCTAGCTATGGATTGGACTGCATCTCCAGCACAGATAACGAATCCCACTTCAGAGTTTTGAGCTGAAGTTGAGAAACATCTCTGTCATTACAGGACTTCTGTGGCTAATCTCTGTTGTCAACTAGACACACCTAGGGAGAAGCAGCCTCAACTGAAGAGCTACCTCCATTGCCAGCACTGTGGCTGTCTCTGTGGGGTATTGTTCTGATTGCTGATTGGTCTCATTGTGAGCAGTGTCATCCCTAGGCAGGGGGACCTGGGCTGGCTAAGAAAGCTAGTTGAGCCAGTCACGGGGAGCAAGCCAGGAAGCGTCATCCTCCACGGTCTCCGCTTCAGTTCCTTCTTCTAGGTTCTTGCCCTGAGTTCCTGCCTTGGATTTCCTTGATAACGAACTATAGTCTGGGAGGTGAGATAAACCCTTTCCCCTCAACTTCCTTTTGGTCATGGTGCTTATCACAGCAACAGAAACAAATGAAGACAAGAGCAGTGCTTCCTTGATGAGGACGAGGAGCCAGTACTCCCAGGAAAACACAGCCTTTGCAAGGACGAGTTCTTCCCCATTTCCTTCTCTTCCTCCTTCTTTTCTTTGAATAATAAAATTAGTATAATCTAATACTGATCTATTTTTTGATTACCAGATATAAAACTCAAAACTAAGTTTAATACTCACAGAAAGCACATTAAAATTTTCTAATGATCAATGATCATGGTTTTATACCTATTTTACGTATTTTGCTTTACATACCTTGATTCTGTATATCAGTCCAAATGATTACTATTGTTATTGTTACTTCAGAGAAACAGTGGCTCATACAGGGTGAGCTGAACTTGAACTTGCTACATAGCTGAGGATGACCTTGAACTCCTAACCCCCTGCTTTTCCCTCTCAAGGCCTGGGGTTACAGGTAAATGCAATCATGCCTCGTTTTGCTTCAAATTATTTGTAAAAATGAACAGGATTTGTGGGATATATACATATATATTTAAAATTAGTAGATGGAAATGTTTATATTTCACACGTCATTTGAGTATTTTAAACTTTGTATTCGTGCCAGAAGACGAGGTTTGACTATATGGAGGAAGATGTTCTATGGGAATATTAAATGTGTTTTAAAAATATGTCCTCTGCTTAGTATTTTATACTTTCTTTTACAGTGAGTGAGGTTTTACAAAACAAGTACTTTGATTCTCTGCCAGTCTTTCCGGTCCCAATGATATACAAAATTTGCACATAAGTCTTCAAAATCAAATAACTATTAATTATATCCCAGACAAAGCCAGAGATGTCAGAGCAAGAGAAACATGGAATGTCAAGGGGGAACTGGTATCAGCGTGGACCAGATGGAGGCTGGCTGAGTAGCGTGACTGAATCAGTGGGCTGGAGAAGGCTGGCAGGAATGAATCTATTCAGTGTTACTGCCTTGGAAGAATCAGACTCAGGTGGGAACATCTAACAGCTACTTGGGATGCTGGCCACCAAATGGGTTTGCATACAGAGGTCTCCCAAGAAGTCCGGGTAAGTGGGGAGGGGGCTCAGAGGTTTGGTCCATTATCTTCATGGCAGGACATAGCAGCGTGCAGGTAGACATGGTGCTGGAGAAGGAGCTGAGGGTTCTACATCTTCATACACAGACAACAGGAGCAACTGTGTGTACCACACTGAACATAGCTTGAGCAAATGAGACCACAGAGTCCACTTTCACAGTGAGACACTTCCTCCAATAAGGCCACACCTACTCCAATGAGCCGTACCTCATAATAGTGCTACACCCCTTTTTTTCAAATCTCTCTCTCTCTCTCCATCTCTCTCCATCCGTCCACCCACCCCCCACCCACCAATGACCGATCTATCTATCTATCTATCTATCTATCTATCTATCTATCTATCTATCTATCGATCTATCCATCATCTCTCTCTATTTTATTTATCTTTCATCTTTTTTTCTATCATGCTTCTTGGTGTAGACAAGGTTACACAATTATAATATCTGTGGATGAAGTAAGTCATTATTCTTTAAAGCGTTAGCTTTTAACAGTCTATTAAAAGATAGCAGAACTTTGAAATCACATTCACATCCTTTGTTTCTGTGTGGCAGAGTGGCAGGGAGGAAAGTGCTGGTTCTGTGCCTTCCTGCCAGTCAGTTCTTGACCTTTTGCTCACGGTGTCCATCTACTGACGTCAGCACCGGTGTCGTCTGCTGCACAGCTGCTTTGTGCGCATGGGGACCCCGTCTAAGAAAACAGTGAGTGGACCAAGATGCGCGTTCAGTCTTCTTCTCTTTGTCTGATCATCTTTCTTGATAAATTAAAAGGTCACTTTTTTGGTTCAGAAGAGTCTTAGTGTTACTGTTCAAGAGATTCTTAAGAAAAAGGATATGGAGCCACAAACATACAAACAACAAGTAGCTCTTCAGTGTGCATATGTGTGTGTGCATATGTGTTCACACATGTGTGGCCACATGGGTTCTTGTATATTAGACATTTTACAAGGTACAGGCATAGCTGGTGCTGGGACAGTAAGTCAAGTAAGTGTCTCTAGAATG